TCCTATATCCAATTCACAATATAAAATCCAAAAAAGAAAACAACAAACCAACACAGCCTGGTCCTGGGAGACCAGTGGACACACAGACCAATAAAACAGAATTCAGAATCTAGAAATAGACCTACACATCTGAATTTTGAAAAGGTGCTAGCTAAATCCTTCTACTGGGGGCGGAAGGGATCTCTTCAATCAATCAATAAGTTTAATTGCTGTGTGTAAAAAAGGGAACAGGAAGACAATTCCAAGATGGGTTAAATATTCAAAGGTGCAAAGTCAGACCTTAAAATTCTTAAAAGAAAAGGCAGAGCCAATGCTGTCAAATCTAGCTTTCAACAATGGCTTGCCTAATATTAAAACCAATCAATGGACTATCATGAAAATTTAAAAAAAGAAAACTTGTTATCAAAAGGTTTTACCAAAAAAGTAAAATGGCAAGGTACTTAGTGGGAGAATATCTTCAGAGACAATATATATATCAAGAATCTAGTGACCAAATATATACATAAAACTTCAATAACAAAAAGACAAATAACCCAATCATACAATGGAAAAGGGCATGAATAGACTTTCCACCAAAGTGGACATTCAACGGGTAACCAAGTAGCTAAGCACCATCAGCTATTAGAAAGATGCAAATCAAAACCTCATTGAGAAACCATTTCACTCCCACTAACAAGATCCTGGAGAGGAGCCCTGGTGGTGTGGCGTTTACACTGTTAACTGCAAGGGCAACAGTTCTACTCCTGTAAAGAGTTGCAGTCTCGAAATAGTTCTGCCCTGTCCTATAGGATAACTATGAGTCAACATTAATTCAACGTCAGTGAATTAATGTTAGTGTTTCTGATTTGGTAAAAGACCCGGGAGCCCTTCCTGGTGGCATAGTGGGTTACATGTTGGGCTTCAAACTTCAAGGTCAGCAGTCCAAAACCACCAGCAGCTCAGAGGGAGAAAGACGTGAATCTCTACTGCCATCTACCACATAGCTGTGGTCTTAGAGCCCCCGGGAGCAGTGCTACTCTGTCCCACAGAGTCACTATGCATTGGCCTCAACTCGATGGCTGTGTGCTTGGTTTGATTTTCGGGAGGAGGAGCCTGGACAAGAAGGATTGGCACAGTGACTGCAATGGTGAGTTCAGGGAAAATAACAACTGTGAGCATGATGCGGGTTTCATTCTGTTGTGCATAGGGGTCGATATGAGTTGGCACCTAACCACAGGATGGCTAACCAAACCGAAACTAAAATGAACCCACCACTACCATCAAGTTAATTCTGACTCGATAAAAGACTACCAGATTAAAAACAAAAATAGAAAATCAGAAATCTTAGCGAGTATGTGCGGAAGCCGGAACCCTCATCCACTGCTGGTATGGGTGCAGACGAGCACGGGGCACAGGGTGGAGGGTCCCCCAAAGGCCTCCAAACAGGACGGAGCAATTCCACTCTTAGGTAGATACTCAAAAGAACCTAGTCCGAAAGCGGAGACAAATAGACACTTGAACACCAATGTTCCCTGGAGCACTGCTCACAACAGCCCAAGGAGGGAGAACCTAAGTACCTGCCAACCAAGAAAGGGACCCAACAAACGTGTTGTTGACCTACAGTGGAACACTACTCAGACAGTAGGAGAAACAGTCTTGATATAAGCTACACACGCTATTCATATAGCGCTTGAAGATATTGTGCTGGCAATCAGAAACAGATAAACATTGTACAATCTCACTTGCCAGAAAGCATTGCTACAAAAACCATAGGCATTTTGTAAATAACAATATCTACCCACTTCCGAAGGCAAGGGTTTTCCATCTCTCCAACACCTTCCCAAATAATTGTCTGATCTATTTTTATCACATCAAGACGGCTCTTCTGGCACCTTGAGGAACTCAAACCGTGTCCCTTCTTAATGTTCTCTCAGTTTGGGAACTAAAAGGTGTCTGAAAGCAGGATAAATGCTGTAGGGTGGAGAAAGTAAGATTTCCCAACAAAACTGTCACAGGGCAACTCTCTCTGCCCTTGGGAAACGAGCACAAGCACCACGTGATGAAAACATGTCCTGTGTTTTCCTTGCCCTTTCTCACCAGTATGGTTCTGTCAGCCTGGGTAAACTAGAGAACCAAATTCATGGACACTCATATGTGCATAGGAAAGAGCTTTATATACAGGAGCACTTGAATCGTGAGAAAACATCCCAGGCCAGGCCAGATCAAGTCCATAAGTCCAATAATAGCCCATATGTCTGATACCAATCTATAAAATCCTCTTCAGACTCACAAAATACATGCAATGACGCCAAGTACAGGAAGATTGCAGGGCAGTGGATGGAAAGTCTTGTGGATCCAGTGGTAGTGTAAGCATCTCAGCGCTGTCAGGGGTCTCCACACGGCTCCTCCAGCTCCAGAACTCTAGCAGCATCAGTGTAGCTCTATCAGGCTCAGCATCAGTAATGTTTCGCAGGCAGTGAACATGTGTCCCACCTCCAGCGAGCTATTTTTCTCCTTAGTACCTCCAAATGAGGTCATCAAGCTGTGGCCTGATTGACAGACTAAACTCCACCCCTTCACTCATAAGTCTCAGATTGACAACAGATTATGTAACTACCACAATGGGGGGGGGGTTGTTTTTTTGTTCTTACATTTTCATAATAAGCCCCCATCTCTTGATAAAATCTTTAATAACTGTTCCTTTGGAGTCACCAGAATCAGTCGCCAGAATCTTCAGTCTTGAATTTACTTGGCCAACAGGTTCCCTTGAAAGTCACTGTTTTGGCTGTACCTTTTTTGAGGATACCCCAACAGAACAAAGACAGGTATCTCACTGAGAGAGCTTGCCCACAGCCATCCACTGATTGCAGGCATGTTTAAATATTTTGCTTGGAATATACCTATGCATGTATGTACTGGAATCTTAGTAACGATATTTTTTACTTAATGTCATATACAGAAGAAAGTTTACTGGTGGTGACGATGAGCAGGAGGGAGAGGAAAAATTGGAGGGGGCATTAATAGTAATTTTTTAAATCACATTGATTAAGGATAGTGGTGCAGAGTCAATTACTATAAGCATTGCGTGAAAATATAGGAGGGGCTACCCCCCTCAAAAAAACCCAGATTTTTTTCAAAGCTATGTATTTAATTTTTTTACAAAACAACCTTATCACCTTCAAAGTACTCTCCATTACCCTTAATACAATTGTCAAATCTGCGATTCCGCTCTTGGAAACATTTTTCAAACACATCTGCTTGGATGGCTGATAGCATCTCCTTCGTTTTTTGTTTTTGTTTTTCTTCACCTTTTCTACCTCATCAAATCGCTATCCTTTCATGTCCCTCTTCAATTGTGGAAACAAAAAGAAGTTGCACAGAGTGAGGTCAGGTGAGTAAGGTGCATGGGGCAAGAGAGGCATGCTGTTTTTGCCAAAAACTGGCATACTGAGATGGCTATATTAGCAGGTGCATTGTGGTGGTGGCAAAATCAGTCCCCCACATGCCACAGATCAGGGGTTTTTTGTCACACACTGTTATGCTATCTCTTCAGAACCTCAAACTACAAAGTTTGATTAACAGTCTGACCTTGTGGAACAAATTCCAAATGCACTATGAGTCAACATTTTTGTCCATTAGGGCGGCTGACGGATGTTCAGAACAAGGTTTGTCATCAATCAACAGTTCACCTTTTTTGAAATGAGAAAACCACTCATACACTTGAGTTTTTCCCATAGCGCTGTAAGCTGTGTTCAACATCACAACAGTTTCTGTGGCATTTTTCACAAGCAGGAGACAAAATTCCATAGCCACACACTGTTCTCTGGTTCAAGTGAAAATGCTTTTATGAAAAAATTCATTGTGACAAGAGAGAACCTTCCCAGGCAATGCCACTGAGTGCACTAACTCAGAGTGAGTTGCTCCATGCTCCCCTAGCAGGAAAAATGTGTGCTATGGAAGTTCTCCTCCACCAGGGAAATTCCAATTTTGGAGGGTACCACCTCAAATTACAATGACCAAAAAAATAAAAACGAGTAGCAACTCAGATTGCTTATATATTTAGCTAATCGACTTAAGACTGTTGGTCCCTTTGGTTTGGGGGTTTAAGGTCATCATTTCGTAGGACATCCCAGTTCTGTGGCCTAATAACATGTTTAATTTTTCAGTTCTACCACCTAGTTCATTGAATAGGACCTGAGCTCTTAAAAGTTTGCATCCAAGGCACAAATGGCCTCTGTTCACCTGGATCAGCAGAGGAGGAAAGAGAGTCAGGAAGAAGATGCGGATTTGGAATGTGTGGCAACTGCCTCCGTAAACAACTGACTCTTTTCATGAGACCAAAAGCTACCATTAGTACCATTTTGATCAAAGATTCCAACAGAAGAATCATGATCAAAGGAGGCAAAATGAAGAACAGAATGTCAAACTTTCTAGGACTCTAGATTGTCTGGACTCATGATGATTGGTCAAACCCTTGAAACTACTGCCCGGAGATCATCTGTAAACTTCACACCAAAAATATTTCTGAGCTTCCCTTAAAAATCCAAAAATAGTTTAGCTTACCTAGTTATTAAAAAATGGTCTGCCTTGAGCATGATACTCTTACGAACTGTCCCTGTGGAATCAAATTAACAGTGCCAACTTGAAAGATTAGCTAGGCAACTCAGAGGGCAGTACACTTACGCTAAAAGAGAAGGAACAACGTACAAAAAGGTGAGAATGCTTGTACAGCTCAAGGATGTAACCAATTGCATTAAAAGGGACATATAGAAACTGTTGAATCGGTATGTGTGTTTTGCTGTGTAATATTATTCTCAACAAGAGTAACAACAACACAATAGATACAATTTAACAGGGAGAAAGGCTAGGAATGGTTATTGTTGCAATATCAGTTAGCACCCCTCAACACTTAAATCAATGCCAAGCTGTAGAAAAGAAGGAAGAGGCAGAGGAGAAGGTCAGGACAGGAACTTGCCACCACCATCCCTCCCGGAGATGCAAAGGGAGAAGGTTGGACATACCCTTCGCCAAGGCCGAAGCTGTTTGGAGAGCCATTGTAACTGGGGGATGGGGCACTGCTCACTTGGTAGGCCATGTCGGGCCATGGAGAACACTGAGGAGAGAGCAAACAGCAGTGACTCAAGGGCATGGGGACGGGGAGAGGCGGGGGTCAGGGACAGACTGACTCTTTCCTCTGCTCCTCTAGGCAAGCACCCATCGCAGTCAAAACAAGAAGCCACAGACTTTCCATCATCCAACTAACACACAGTCAGTCCCACAGTGAGTTAGGGATGGGGACAAAGAGGAGGCAGGCCATCCAGATAAAACCCACTGTGGCAGAAAAGAGACCTTCCCAGAATAAGTGTGAGATGCCTTTCTCCGTGTCTCCTGGTAGTCAGTCCAAACCACTGTCAGTCGCATGCTTCCTAGGGCCACAGGAAAATAGAGGGCTCGCTCCAGAAAACAAGCCAGTTACTCAGAAACAGTGTTTCTTGGTAGAAACATGTGTAATACATATTACAGAGAACACAGATCGCAAAACTTCCCAACAAAAAATTGTCAGTAAAATGGACTAGAAAAGGCTATGCATTTTTGCAAATAGAACTCTCTAAAGTGCTAACGAGGCGCCTGGGCAGCTTCTCCTCAGCAGCATCCCACACTTAATTTTCCATGAAGAGCACGCTGCTAGGACCTAAGGGAGACATCAAAGATTAAGATGTGATACTTGTCCTCCAGGAACTTCTTGTGCAAAGTCAAAGCCTGAGCCCACGTGGGACTCTCCCACAGAAGGCAAAGGCACACAAGCTTTGCCTGTTGGGAAAGTCTAAGAAGGAAGAATTAATCTCTCCCTTTCCCTCCAGTGACATTTCCTTAAAGAACATCGAGTTGAAACATTCCTGAAGATTTACTATCATCTACTCAACCACGGGGCTGGTAAATATTTAACTGTGCTGCTAGCGTGGGCTGGAATTTGTTGGTACTGATGAGCTGATAGAGGTAGGAGTTCCATACGCCATCACTTCACACTTGCTTCCAGACAAGGTCACTAGTCAGGTGGAGATTTCCACCAACTGCACTGAAGTGACCAGAACACGGTCTAAGGAATACCAGGGTCTCACCTCTACTAGCAATATCAGAGATGAGTCTGAAGACAGAAGCAGGGAACGTGAGGATAGCTATAAGTGGAAAGGGGGTCATGGTAGAAGGCAAGGGGAGTATGGAACACTCCAAGCATATTCCCTAGGACAGGTCAGGGCACAGAGAGGAAAGACAAATGGGGAACAGGCATGGGGAGAAGCTGGTGCCAAGGCTGGGACAAGGCTCTTCCCACATCTGGTCCCTCTGGCCTTTGTCAGCTCAGAGCCAGGTACAATGAGATACATAGCTGTCTGCTTTGACAGAATACGAGTCGTTTTTATAGTTTTCCTTATTGCAAATACTCTTCCGCATGTGGATCATAACACACATTCACATAGACAAGGTTAAGTAGAAAGTGCTACTATTAGGGTTGCATATCACACAGAATGTAGGATTCCCTTCAAACAGAATGTGTTTTAAACACATCTCTGCAATCAGTAGACGGATGCAGACAACTTCTCGTGGTGTAATACTGCAAGAACCACTCTGCACCCATCTGCTGACTGCCACCTGTCACTGATGACACGTGTCTTAGCTTCCTCAGGGTGCCGCAAAAACAGCTGGGAGGGGAGCAAAAGAGTAGCTTCCCTCCTGGGCCGGTAAAATTCAAGATGGAGACTGATCAGCTCAGAAGCTATGGCAACTGTTATTTGAGATTCTGAGCAGTTGATCTTGATCATTTTTGCTGAGGGACATGGGATAATAACAGGGACTTATTAGGAAGATGCTTGAACAAAATTGAAACTTCAGTGGGGAGGGACAAGGTCAGGAAAGATAAACCAAGGAATTTTTCCCACCACAAAAGCTGTACCTGCTCGTTCCTAAAGCATAGCAGGGCTGCTCGAAGAGCATTAGAAACCCTTACCCACCTACCCTATGCCGCTGATCTTCCCCCATCCTCCACCTTTTCTTAAAGGAACATGCTTTGAGTCCCTCCAGAATGCCCAAGCTGTCATTTTGACATGGGTTAGATCCGCGGTTCTTAACCTGTGGGTCACGACCACTTTGGGGATCAAACGACCCTTTCACAGGGGTCGCCCGATTCATAACAGTAGCAAAATCACCGTTATGAAGTAGCAACAAAAATATGGTTTGGGGGTCACCACCAAATGAGGAACTGTCTTAAAGGGTCACGTCAGGAGGAAGGTTGAGAACCACTGGTCTAGATCAGTGAGCACAGAATTATTTTAGGAAGGCCCAGAAGGAAGGTGTCAACAAACAAGCTTCATGTTCTGATAGTTTGTTTATTAAGGCAGCTCTGATTTTGAAGCCATAATTTTTATTTACCCTTATGTATGTATGCAAACACACAATACTCTCACACATGCGCACATATGTATGCAGACACTCACAGTGCCTCATCACCGAAGACTATAATATGTCCTCGGCTGCTGTCTCAAACGCAGCACAGCCTTACTCATGGAGGGCCTTGTGATGACAGGGTAATTTGGGAGGAGTAGAGCCTAACGGAAGAGGAGGCACTGGTTGTGACCACTGATGGGCAGACGCAAAGCCTGTGACCTGGGATATCTCAGCAGGGAGTACTGCTCTACAGGCGGCTGGAATAAGCTGGCAGAGGTGCCAAGGTTAAGAGGGAAGTGCACATAGCCTTTGACCCAGTGATTCCAGAACAAATCCTGCACATACTGTGGGAACACACCACGATTTAACTGGAATTCAAGATAGAAGTACTGACCCCAGGAGGGCGATGTGATGACAACGTCCTTCTTTTCACAGAAAGGCCGTGGTAAGGGACCCAACAGTCCGGCCACTCACCTCTGTGAGGATGGTGGTCTCATACGATGGCTGGTATTTCTCCTTCTCTTGGGCAGTTCGTTTCTCCATCTTCTCCCGGTCAGTTTTCTGTTTCCGGTCAGCTCCCTTTGGCTGTCATTGGAGAGCACAGACATCCAATTAGTGCAGAGCAGACACAGCTACGCTGCTAGAGGAGGACCCAAGGTCAAATGGTAACTCCTAGGCCTGCAGACTCCCGACTAGCCCCAGAGGCCCTGCAGCCTGGAAGGACCTCACCGAGAGTCTTCCTCGCCTCTCAACCTCAAGCACCTGGTCTTGGACCACTCTAACTCCCGCGCCGAGGGAACGCAGAAGCTGCTATTGGGTCCTATTCACTCGGCTGCGCTTCTGATGTACTTGGAAAGGATCTTTCCCAATGACTACTTGCTTAAAGAAAGAAACCTGGAAGATCCATCAACTCGTTGCCATTAAGTCAATTCGGATGCACAGCAATCTTATAGGACGGCAGTTAACTGCTCCCCGAAGTTCACAAGGCTGTAGTCTTTATGGGCAACATACGGTCACATCTTTTTTTCTATGAAGCGGCTTAAAGAGGTTGAGCTGCCATCTTTTCAGTTAGCAGTCGGGTGCTTAATGAAGACACCACCAAGACTTACTGAACCTTCAGCAGCCATGGAAACTCCCCGTGCATCCTGGGTGACTCATGGGGGAGCAAAGGGGATGAAGGGTTACGGTGGGCAGCAGGTCTGGCTTGGGTCTGGCCGCGCAGGCTAGAAAACCCGGAAATATGATGAAGGCTGCCACCCTCCAGCTCCTGAAACCCTGCCATGCTTCAGCTGACACTGCACATGTAGGGTAGCATCTTCATCTGCCACCATGCAGATGGGCCCACCGAGGCTGCCTCCTGAATGGCCAAGGCTGCCATTCCTGGGCAGCCAGCAAACCTAGGGTGCTTCTGAAGGGTCTCTGTGCCTCACGGGCACTCCTAGCCCTCTAACTCAGAGATTAGCACAGCAAGGCTGAAGTGTATCATCAAGGTCAAACACCAAGAACCCCATCATCATTCACTGCAGATTCTCTATCGCCACAAGGTAGACCCAACCCAAGTGTACTTCAGCGTATGAACAGATCAACAAAATGCAAGCTGAATGAGCTGTCAGACACAAAAGGACAAATATTCTAAGATCTTGCTTACGTGAAAGGTCCAGAATTGGCAAATGCAAAGAGAACAACAGTCATTAGTGGGGACCAGGAACTGGAGGGAGGTCAGTGGGGAGTTGCTGCATCAAGAGCACTAAGTTCCAGTTCAGGATGATGGGAGACTTTTGAAAATGAGTAAAGGTGATGGTAGAAATCATGGTGAGTATAATGAATGCCACAAAGTTGTATATTTAAAAGGAGTCGAAGTGGCACGTTATTATACATATTTCACAATTTTTTAAAGGAAAGAAAGAATTAGCTCAGAGGGTAAGGAAGTGCTCATTCACCATAAGCCTGTGAAAGCTGGCCGTTCTAAGAGGGACACCGTCTGTCCTTCCTAACCTCCCACCCTCAGAGACATGATGCCCTACAGAGAGCCCTTGAGTGCTTTCACTAATGGGGTGCCCCAAGGTAAGAGGAGTTAATAAGTTGCACCCACCTCTTCCAGGTTCTTGGTCACGCCCATCTCAACTGCTTCTGTGAATGGGGACTCTGCTTGAAGTGGACATACCCTCTAGACAGCCTATGAAGCCACTTTCAGGTGACATGAGGCTCACACTTTGCTGCAAGAGAAGCTAGGGCTATCCCCATGGGACTCAGACCAGGAGCCTTGCCGGCAATTCCCATATGTGTGGCTGAGCAGTCTGGTGGGCAGAGGCCTCTGTGCCCTCCCACTCCTGAGTTCTGAATTGGGCGTCGACGGAGAGCTAGCTAGGAAGGGCTGGGCGCTGCATGAAGGCAGAGAACTCCCACCTCGCCCCTCTCTCCCACTGCCCAGCATGGACCTGACCCTCAGAGTAAGTCTCCATTAGGAAGTGAGTCATGGTCTGTTCCACGGGTGTGGCCTGTAATTGGCTTAGCCAGGTGGCCAGGACTGGCAAGGAAAGGGAGGCTCTGGAAAGAATGTAGCTCTGCCAATGCCTGGATTTTAGCTCAATGAACCTATTTTGGATTTCTGACCTCCAGGATTAAATAATAATAAGTATGTGTTATTGCAAACCACGAAATTTGCTGTACGCAGTAACAGCAGCCATAGGAAACGATACAGGGAGATCCGCAGCTTCCTACAAAGATTGATTTCAGTGCTTCGTAACCCTAAAGCAGGCTTCTGAAGGTACTCATGACTCTGGTAGGAGAGACAAAAATACACACTGACCACAACTTCGAGGATTTCGAGATTCAGAGGTAAGATTCTTGTTTCCATGTAGCAACCCAGACATCTGACCTCATGCGTAGCTACCATCCGTCAGTGGAGCCTGAGCTGTTACATGGTGTCACAAGGTTAGAGCAGTTTCCGGACTAAGATAGGCTAGGAAGAAAGGCCTGGAAATCTAAGTCTAAAAATTCAGTCCAAAGCGTCCATCAGGAGCTAGAGGCCAATTCTACAGCAACTGACAGCCACCAATGATTCTTCCTCCCACATCTGGGCCAGCAACCCTCATTGGTCATGAGTTCTAATCCGTGGAGCCCAGCTGTGACCCTAGAGTCCCAGCCCACGGTTCTCAGGCAGCTGATTGCTTATCTGATGGGACAAGTTGCCAGTCTGCTCTCCCGACTGAGGCCATGGACTCATCCTTGGTTGTCCTACTTCTGCGTTGGCACGTCTCACAATCACTGCAGAGCTCTTTCTGTCTACTAGGCTCTGTGACAGATGCTATAAGAAGGTAGATGGCACTGCTCACCTTCAAGAGCTTCCGGTGCTCTTAAGCCAACAACAAACTCTAGAGTCAATGCTGACTCAGCTTAACCCCATAGAACAAAGTAGATTCTAACTCTATTGGAGTAGAAAGTCCCATCTTTCTCCCATGGAGTGGCTGGTGATTTCAAATGGCTTTGACCTTTAAGTCAGCTGACCAATTTGTAACCACTACACCCCCTGGACTCTGTCCCATGTGGTTAGGGGCTATCAAACCATTCAATTGCTAGGATGACCGTCTTCCTGTGGATATATTCACATCCTCTCACTTCCAGATGGTTCATCCTGACTGACCCAGTTTTCTAATAAGCCCTACCTGAAAAAGAGTTGCTCTCAGAATCTGGCCCCAAGAAGATGAACTTGTTCAGATGCTCTAAATTCATCTGAGAGTGAGCAAAGGTTGGGACGTACTGGCGGCTAATTATTCAGGTGACTCCTGTGATCAAGCAATGCCATAGCCCCCCTCTCCCCTCAGCCCCCCCTCTCCACCACACAACGGGTACAGGCCTCAGAACAGAGCCACAGACCTGCTCGGGTCTCCTCCCCTCACGCCGCAACACTCCCTCTCCTTGGGCCACACGGGGCCAGGAGCGAGAGCACGGCTACAGGGGAGCAGTCTGTCCACGCATGAGTTGGAAAGCAGCCATGGGTAACTGCAGCAGGGACGCAGGACAGGGAGAAAGGAGAAGATGCTGTCCCCAGCAGGAAGGCATTGCGGAGAGAACTGGCATCGGCCCTGTGTGAAAAATGCGCCAGGCCTCCAGGCGTAGTTCCCGCTTTGATTCTGTTTTTCATAAAATTAGCTTTTCCCTTTAAACAAACAATCTGGTAGCCTAAGATATTTAAAATGGCAGCAAGACCCTTGATATACAAATTGCTTTTCAAATAAGTGGTAAAAATGTACATAGCCACTGACATGTGATACTTAATTTCTGCAAAATTGTACCAATAGTTTACACATTCATGCAGGTGCATACTTGTATTATTATATGTAGTTAGTTTTATTAATTTTGTAGTTATTAATGGTGCTTTATTTGAAATTTAATTTGTATGATTTAGTAACTATTGAAAATACTTTATTATATACCTATTTATAAATAGTTTCCCTTATGTGAACCATCTGCTTATGTCTTATTGCCATCAAATGTATATAAGTCCAATAAATACATTTGATGGCAATAAGACATAAACCCGATTTGATTCTTAATCAACTCTAATGTGAGCATCTGTGGACAATTACAAATTCACTGGAAGGGGGGGAAAATCTAAAAATCTGCAAATCCTCATAAATTGAGCCAAGCACTGATGTCCAGGAACCTCAACATTTCTGTTGCTGGCTGAGCAAATGCCACACTTCAAACGCCATCCACAAAGGCGAAAGACCATCACCCTTACCCAGGAGCACAGGTAGAACCTGGGCTAAGAGCCTCCAAGATCCCAGCTGCAGGGTAAGCACAGGCAGGCCCACTGCCGGCTGCATCCACAGCCTGGAGGAGGGTGTGGCGAGGCTGTCCTACCTTGAACACCTTGACCTGGCAGCTGGCGGAGTGCAGGTGCTCAGTGTACTCCCCATTCTCGTTCTGCTTGAAAGTGTCGATCTGCACTCGGAAGGGCACACCCTTCTCTCCTCCATGCTTCCTTGGGGTAAATTCTGTGCTGATACAATGTACCTGGAAGGGAAGACATGGAGCTGGTAGCAGAGTGGGGCAAGGGTTTGGATTCTGGGTATTCCTCTCCAAATGAAAGTCTCATCTTTGCCTACCATGGGCAGACCTGCCTCAGCCCCCCTACTCTATGCCCCCCCATCCAACCCCTCAGGCTGGTGGCCCATCCCCCTACCTGCAAAAGACATTCCCACGGCCCCACCCTACTTACAAGAAAGCAGTCCCAGAGCAGAACCCCCACCTCCATCTACAGCCATTGCCAGCCCAGATGCCAGTGGTATTCCCGCAATAAACCGCTGCGTGTGCCAACCTCTAATCGATTTGGATGGCAAGCTTCACCAGCATGTGGTTAAGTACAGTGTGCAGTGAAGCGACACCAATCAAAACCCCCCAACAGGAAAGAAACGTGTTAGATGCCCTTGTAATTATCTCCTCATTGTAAGGACACATCTCGGCGACTTGGCTGTCCAAGGCCTGACTGTAGACGCATCCTTAACCTTGGTCCGGTCATGCTTCTTTCTGAAGAGCAGCCAGCTCAGTCTGCACTGCCGATCCAACCAGAAGGTACAAGAGTTGTGTGCGGCCATTGTGGAGTTCATGTTCCTTCATAGCATTTACATTCTATTGGCTATTGTTTGCAATATAGAGATGATTTAAAGTGCATGGGTTGGGGGAGTGTGTAGGTAATATGCAAATATTATGCACTTTACAAGTTTGAGTACTTATAGGGATTCTGGAAGCAACCACTTTCCCCATCCCCCACCCTGCCGATACTGATGGATGACTGAGTTCCCAGGAAGTATTGATAAGGTTTTCTATAACAGCTTCACATTTATACTTACCTTTTATGTAGATGATATCAAAATTATTTGCTTTAAAATCTAAGCAATATGCATTTTGATTGAACTGCTTACTGTAACTGTAACCTAAGACCATAATGATTTTATTCAGGAAGAAATTTTGAGTGTACCTTCAAAGACTTGACACTGTTGTTAGAGAAAAAAAAAACATTTCTAGACAATGTATGTTTGGTTTTTTTTGTTGTTTGTACAAAGATACAATATTTTGCTAGTAATTAAAAATACAAAATGAAAATAGTTTTTTGTCCACAGTTGGAGACGATGTTGGATAAATGTCTTTTTTCAAGGATCACAGGACTTTTTAACTTTCATTTTTGTCTGTTTTCTTTACCAATTATAAAAATTTTTGTCTGGATTTGTGAAATTCAATGTTGATCAACTGTATGTATTCCTTTATAGAGCCTGGAGGAGGTATTTCACATAGCACGTTTTATAATATTTGGCCATTTAAACAAAGGTATATTTATATTGGGTTGCCTTCTTTTCATTAGATCATGAAACATTTTTCTTATTGGGATAATTATGTATCACTTGTATGTGAAGGAAGCCTGTGACACTTTACACTAGCTAAAATGCTGAGATTGTAGTTTATTTTAACCAGTCTTCTCAAATATGGGGGGGGGGTCAGAGAGTCACCCAATTTATTAAAAAACAAAATAAAACAGATCAGAAACAAAAAGCAACTTCGTTTTCTAAGAATTCACTAGGACTTAAGGAATCAGTTCTCACACTGCTTCTTTTTACAGTAAAGAAGAAATTGCCTCAATGAAAAAAACTATTCAGATGTGTTTAATGCCGTTGAATTAGATAATGAGATGATCTGAATAAATTAATTAACTATCCCAGGGATAAGAATAATAATGTAAATTAGTTTATGTTCCTGATTTACATTTAAAACATACTCATCAGAGAGTTTGGAACAAAATAAATGTAAACTTCAAAGAGTAAATAATAAATGTAAAAATACAGTAACTCAGGATTATATGTACCTTTGAAAATACACTAATAAAGATAATGGTTAAAAAAAACACCTCTCTCCCCCCCTTTCATATCTTTACTTCAGAGGCCCTGACAGACCCCTAAGCACCACCCTCACGCCTCACCCTGAGACCTCTTCCCCTCAGCGACTCACACAGACTTCAGAGGTAGGACACAGCTTAACCCTTAGTCTCTCTCTGCATGTCTGTGTCCAGGTCAATTTGCCAAGCTAGACTCATGGCCAAAAGGCTAAAACCATGTCCACAAGGCGAGACTCATTTCTGTATTTCTGGTTAAGTGCCTGTTACACAATAGGCACTTGATCTACATGTTTTATGATAACAGTAATGTAATGATAGCTTTTATTGAGGAATTACTCTGGGTCCGACACTACACCAATGGCTGATATTCGCCATTGGATTTAGTCGCCCAAACAAATCTCTATGATGGGCTCTGTAGAAATAGCACCATGTGCTGAGAAGAGAAGTTCAAAGACGTGAAGAAGCCGGCTAAAGGGCACATAACAAATGAGAGAGGTGGAGTTGATCTAGAACCACAATGCCACAGTCTTACCTTTGACCAGTTCTGTCTCATACAGTATGTGGCACTGGGCTAGAGACCCACCTCATGCTCAAACTGGTGCTGAGAATTACAGACCAGAAAGGACTCTGATGTTTTCCCTTCCTTTTGCTTTCTAGGCATTTGTGCTAGCAAACATCGGATTTGAGGTCATTCTTTGCCCTGCTCTACTGTGGCTCTGAGCAACACTGACTCTCTCCTTCAGTTTCCTTCCCTGGAACAGGGAGTCCACCAAGACCTTAGCCAGATCGGCTCGTTTTGAGGAGATTTAGAACAAATCCTAAAAGCCCTGGTTTCCTCATAGAGGATACTGTGCCCTTCCACTCACCTGAATGAACGCAGAGGCTCTCTTTGCAGGATCCCACAAAAACTCCACCGCATTCAGCTGGGTCGGATTGGCCCTGGGGTCCAAGATACCAACTGACAGTGGGATGTCTGCACACACATACACACACACAAAGAACAACTGTCAGGCACTCCCAAGCAGGACCCTCGTTCCAGGTGCAAATTCCTTAATCACAATGTGAAATGCCAAAATTCTGAAAACTAAAGATGGGCAGAGCTGATTTGGCAAATACCCTAATTTGAGTTGACATGGACCTGTTCGTGGTCTTTATCCCATTTGGGGTAAACAGTCATCTCATCTTGCTGTAGAAATATGGTTCTGTTTGATTCCCTGATGAATATATGATGCTATGGGCATGTTGTTATGTGCAACTTTGACTCCTACTAATCCTGCAGGACGGAGGATAACTTCCCCAGAAGATTTCCTATATAATTGCATATCTCCAGGTCCTTTCTCCCATGGATCCACTGGTGGCTTTAAACCACTGCCCTTTTAGAAGCAGTCAAGTGCTTAACTAACTATTATGTCACCAGGGTTCCTGCTGGGGGTATATGTACCGCCCACCCCCATTACCATTCTAACTGCTGAATTCCAGCACCTATCTGATCCCCAGGGTTGTACACAAAGGACAACGGGGAACTGGCCCTAAAAGTTCCATTTTCATTACCCATCTCTGTTATTTAGTTTCCTATTCTCCCCTTCACCTTTTTCCAACTTCTTTAAGGCATGCTCTTTAAGGCAGGTCTTTGAACGCCACTTTTCCAGCAAAGGTATATTCTGTCTGCAAGCTCCCCCAGTCTATGCACAGGGCAGGTGGACACGGAAGGGCTCAGTCAGGCATGGGTATCAATGATGTCCAGGAAGCCCTCTTGAGCACCTCAGGCTCTCCCTGGCTGGGAGACTCACCGATGTCCAGGATCCGATCCCCCGGACGACTCCAGCGCCAACCCTCCAACTGCTGGTGCTCCATGTACTGCAGCCGGCGATCATGAAAGACCACGCGGATGATGCTCTGGGGAAGGGGTGGCAGGCAGACAAATGGAGAGGCCACGAAGAGCCTCATCTGCTCCCACAGCCAGGGCAAGTGCTCCCTATTTACAGGGCCCTCCTCATCAAGTCCTCCCAGTCCTCAAGCTCCGTGTACTACATCTTCCCACAACTCCCACAGCACTCTCAATGGCGGCACCGTAATAAACAAGTCATGGTTGTCACGATGTCTGTCATTGTTATTAGAAGTTAGACTGTGTCTCCCCAAAATATGTGTTGGAATTCTAACCCCCTAAGCTGGGGGATACAGTCCCCTTTAGATATAGGGTTTCTTTGTTATGTTAATGAGCCATTTCTGTATAGGGTGTGTCCTAAACCCAATCACTTCTGAGTTATGAAGACATCAGACACACAGGGACAAGAGAGCACAAATAGAAGATGGATGTCATGTGAAGGTCAAAGGACTGAGGAGCACCAGGGCCATATAAGCTGAAACCAAGACTATCCCCAGAGCCACAAGAGACAGAGCCTTCCCTGGAACTGGTGCCCTGAATCAGGACTCTAGCTTTCGGAGAATTCAGAAGATGTGTTCTTTCAAGCCACTTGCTTGTGCTATTTCTGCTACAGCTACGCTAGATATCTAAGGCAATTACCAACTGCTTTAGATCTGTGTCATGTCGATCCCTTGGTGAAGTTGAGGAAACTACAGCCCAGAGGAATTTGGTAAGTGCCAAAGCCAGTATTGGATTCGGAGTCCTTCTAATCCAGAACCCCTCAGCACAAGACTGGCTTTCAAGCCCTCTGACTTGCCTTGGTCCGTGTTCAAGCAAGCCACTCCCAGAGCTCAGGGCTGCATCTCATGCATCAAGTCCAAGTTGAACTCCACGTCTTCCTCTGAAGCCTTCCAGACCACCCATAATAAGCCCAGATGCTCAGAACCCAACCGAGACCAAAGCCTTACCTTGACATATTTTGTGTTCAGATCTTGAAAGTCTCCCAGTTTCCGGTTCTCCAGAAGGCGGATTTCATAAGATTGACCTAGAGGGGGTTGATGGTACACGATCCATTTCTGAATATTCTTAAGTTTGGGGTTCACCCGGCTAGGGACCTTCTCAATATGTTCAGTGCCTGCCCAGGCCTCCTGGTCTTGGAAGAGCAAAGCAGAGAAGGAAGTCCTCAGCCAGCTCAGACCCTCGTGGGGTTGAATCCCCCTCCTTTGTCCATTCAGCCTGGCCAGGCTCTGACACCCCAGGGCATGCACCACCGTGACAAATAAAGATGGGGAAAAGAGGAGAGGAAAGGAAAAGCCACCACAGTGTTGAGAGAAAAAATAGAATCCAACAGAATATAGTATGGCCCTTAAAGAACACAGCTTCATATTTGAATATATATAAGGAAACACCACCCTACCCCATACAGTTGAATAGCTAAGTTATTGAAGTTCACATTGAAGGAGTAAATAACTGGACATGCCTTTCTTGAGAGTAGGTTTAAAGGAATGAATAAAACCCTGTTAAACATTGCCTCTAATGGCAGAATGAAAAACAGTTTCCAGTTAAAAGAATTTCATGCATTCAAAGGGGTGTGGATATTCCATTTGGAGACATCTAACCAGCACAAGCTAGTTAAAGAATATAAACAGATAAAAAGATCCATCTCTAATAATAAGAAACTTCAAAGTACATAAGAATAACCCAATGAAACTAGTTTATTGAAAGATTAAAAATATACCCTGTATAAAAAGGACACACCAGGATCCTAAGTGAAAGATTGTATATTGAGTGGTGTGGCTGTCAATTTCCCCCCAAAATAAATAGGTTTCAAATCAATTCTGAAACAAGAGAAGACATTTTTAAATAATTAGTCTTGGAAGATTTTATAAACTTTAAGAAACGATAAATAATTAATAGACTCACAAGAAGTTATAGAGGTCTTGAGCATCGTTCACGCCATGATGAGATCTTCTACAGCTATAATTCATTCCCTAAGCCAGGAAAGTGACCCTGGTACAATCACTAAACTACAGACCTTACTCAGCCTCACCTAGATTGTGCAGGTGTTCATTAGTTGTTTTGTGTGCGCATGCATTCCTGTTGCCAAGTTTGCAGTGAGTGCTTAACCATGGCACCTGCAGAGCTTCTGTGGATGTATCTAGGTGTATGAATTTCTAACATGTGATTGGATCCGTTTTTTTGTTTGTTTGCTTCTGTTTAAGTCCAGATTCCCACCTCATAGCCAATATCAATACAAGTAGTCCCTAAATTTAAAATTAACTTCCTAAGGGTTTATTTTATTGTAACATGAAGCAACTGTTTAATTATTCCACAGGGAAGACCTTTTTGAGGCTAAAAATAACGGGAAGAAGTAGGGAACACATCTAGCTATATAAAATAAGTACACGTGTGTATGTTGTGTGACTGAAACTTAACTGTACACAACTAGGACATTTGATTTAAATAGTCCCTGAATGACAGCCTCTGCACACACACAAAAACAAGCAAGGAAGCAAACGAACAAAAACCCACATCTCAGACCCCCAAACCTGTGAATGTAACTCTACTTGGAAAAAGATCTTTGCAGGTGTCACTAAGTTAAGGCTCGGAGATAAGGAAATCATGCTAGAATACCCCAGTGGGTCTTAAACCCAATGGCAAGTGTCCTTTTAAGAGACACACGAAGGGCACAGGGAGGACAAGAAACCGCGAGGGTGGCGGCAGTGGTGCAGCCAAGAGCCACAGGAAGTTGGAAGAGGCAACACAGGGAGCTCTTGGAGGGAGGACAACCCTGTCAGATTTCAGATTCCCAGATGTCAGAACTGCGGGGGAATAAATCGGTTGTAAACCACAAAGTTGTGATAACTTGTTCTAACAGTCACAGGAAATGCATAGTCTCCCAATGCGCAATGGAGTGGGCAAACAATATGCACTGAAATGATTCTTTTCAAATATTTGTTGAGCAGCAGCTCTGTGGCTAGCACTGTGGCTGAGATTCGTTTTACAAACTTATCCTAATTTGGCCTAAAACAGTGAGTGAGCCCCCGCCCCCCAGCCCCCCAGCACTGCCCAGGGTGCTGTCTTCCCCAGTAGATGAAAGTGGTACCGGCCAGACTCTTATCTTGACCATTTGGCTGTTTAAAAAGATGTACGTCACAAGACTCTTTGTTGACCTACTTGACCCTTCCAAGCTTTCTGAAAAAGTGAGATTTTTAAGATACATTTCTAGTTTCCTGAACCAAAAACCCAACCCTCCCTTGACACCCAAAGAAAATGGAGCCTCACACACCCTAACTGGTTTTTCAAGTGTCTACTACCTGCCTCAATGAAGAATGTAACCTGCTTTGGTATGAGCTCAAGGTTCAAGAGGTCATTACCTCTGAATTACATTGACCCCAGGGTCCCGTTAGCACTGACCCCAGTCTCTGCAGGGCAACCCCCTCCTCCACTGCAAAACCATTTACAAACTCAAACAGCAGGAGCAGCAACTCGAAGACCGGAGTGTGGTGCTCAGCCCGACATCACAGCTTCTTCTGGACCAGGAATGTTGACCGGGAAATACTCTTCCATCTGAATCGTCTTACTCCATCCTTTCCCACGCATGCACTCTGGAGCTCCTCTCCCGCCACACTGCACCTCTCCGAGCTCAAGTCTCCATACTGGACGTGCACCTTCCGCCTGAGTCTTCCCCAACATCAGCAGCAGTGTGGGCAGATTCACCTCGTGACCCCAAACCTCATAAAGCTCCGATCCCCACCCTCACCAGCCATCTGCAAAGTGAACTGCCCCTTTGCACCAGGGCATTTCTTTGCTTGAAGCAACCCATTTCAAGGTCTGGATGGTACCATGAAGGTAGGCTCTCTGAAGGGAGTGTTGAATATTATTCTAAAGGACAATGACAGAATCTGCTAAAGTAAGACACTCTCCTACCTGAAAAGAGCTGACAATCTTCTGGGGTACACGACATAGTACAGGAAAAATGAAAATATATAGTAAAAATTTAAAACTTCCTCAGTAATTCTCAAGAATGAGGGATGAATAAAAGGTTTGAATATACATGTAAGATGGACACAATTTCTGTAGTTGACGGATGAGGTACTTAGTTTATTGTGCCAACCTGGCTGATAAATACATGTGGGTTAATTGAAGGGCGGAGGGATTCATGGCTCAGTGAGCCTCACTTTTCTAGTTCTCGGGTCTCTTGCTTTGTGAGGGTCGGACCAGGGTGCAGCTGCCTTAGCCAGTTCCCTGTTTTGCTGGCAAGGCTCACTTCCTGCAAGACATCCCTGAGGAGAAGTCACATGGACCTACCCCTGATACAGCCCTGGATGCTGGAGCAGCCACGTGGAGACCCCTGCCCACACTGAGATGCTTACACATTCACTGACTCAGCTTTCCTCGTGCAGTCAGCTGTCATTGCATGTGTTTTGTGAGATGGAGGAGGACTTTGTGGATTGGTGTCGGACATATGGGTTAATGTTGGACTTGTGGACTTGGGCAGTACTGGGTTGTGATGTTTTCTTGATGCACACTTAACCTTTATATTCAACTCTCTCTTATAAACAAGTTTCTGTGGATTTGTCTCTTTAAAGTACCCAGACTAACACAACGGAGCTAATGAATGAAACAGCAATCCCGAGCAAAGGAACAAGCAATGCGGATAGGTAGGAAAAGAGAGGCTGCCTCTTTGGCTACTTCCTTAAGTATTCAAAACTACCTTTTTTTTTTTAAGTCGCCATTGAGTTGTTTCCAACTCACGGTCACCCCACATGCATCAGAAAACTGTGCTCCGTAGGGCTTCCAATGGCTAATTTGGGGCGGGGGGGGTGGGGGTGGGGGTGCCCAGACCTTGCTTGCTTCCAACGCACCTCTGTAAATAGATTCAACCCTTCGGTGTTTGTTGAGCACTTGCGCTCGTCCCTCAGCAAATTCTGCCCGTGTACGAACGCACCTGAGTCTCCGAACACTTCCATAGCCTGCCACTCCCCACCCCGGAACAGAAGGACACAGAGGCTGAGAGGTTGCCCGACTCTAGATAAGTTCACACAGCCAGCAAGTGGCAGGCTCGGGTCGTTGCTATGCGGTGCCATGGAGTGGGTTCCGATTCATCAAGACTCTGGGCACAACGGAATGAAACCGGGCCTGGGCCTGCGCTGTCTTCATAGCAGGTGTTAGTAGGCTGGAGAGCGCACGATTGCAACAACCATGCAGCGTCTAAATCTGTTTCCAAAACCCACTACACTGGTTGCCATGTCCTACTCTGCATGGCATTTGCAGGCAGGAGACATCTGGCCGGCAGTCCCTCCATTGATCCTTTCTGGAGGGCTTGTCTCCTCCACCACTTAGCTTCTCTACAATTTCCTGTGACATCTGAGCTTAGAACGCACCCGCCGCC